AGCCCTGTAAGTGAACAGAAGTGCATCTGCCATACCCCTACCATAGACAGAGGGTGCAGCAAGCCATCGTCTCTGCCGCAAACGTGAACGATACCCTGTCGCATGCACACTTTTCCAATCGAGGACGCTGCCTTGCTGAGGGACACCATTTAGAACTTCTCGGGACACCATTTGGAACTTCTCGATTCGAGAGTAGATTCCTCCAAGCTGCAAAGTGATGGAGGAGTTGGCCTTCTTTGGCTTTCGCATCCTTGCGGCAAAATGGTCCGTCTCGGATGAGACCCCCGGCTTCTCCTCCGGAGTGAGGGAGTAGTAGGGGTCTTTTTGGTCCTGCGGCACGTTGGCCCATCCCGCGTCGTGGTAGCACAGAAGCACCGCGTCGTTGAAGTCCACCGGGTAGAACACGAGGCCGCTCTCCTTGTGCTCCATTGCCCGCCTCGCCAACTGGTTGGTGAGCGCACATCTCCGACGGCAGGCTCCTTCTGCCTTGCTGACTCATCGAGACTCCCACCTGCAAGTCAGGGCGGGTTTGGCTCGCCATCCACGAGAGTGCTCCGATCAACGACATGTTATCGTACTTCTGGGTCTCCGTGGCCTCGAAGTGGTCGAGGATGTCCTTGTCGACGTCAACCTGAAACAATCTCGTAGTCGCGTAGCTCGCCTGGGACAGCTTCACAGCTCTCCCCGATCTCGATGTAGGATCCAACGTAGTCGAACTTGTCGGCTTCCAGGTCTCTGATGGGAAAACGGCTGCTGATCTCCTCCTTGAGCTTCTCGCAAAGTTGCTTGTCTCCAACAAGCAGAACATCTCGACGTGAACGCCCAGATAGGCCTGAGGAGGCCCTAGGCGCTCAGTACCATCCTCATTTATGGCGATCACCTCTTGCACCATGAAGATACAGTGATCCAAACTGCATTGTACCACCTTCCACTTCTTGCCGTCGTGGTCCACGGTGAGCACTTGCATCGTTTTCCGGAACTTGTTCCACCAGGCGGCCGGACTGTCCACCAAGCCAAAAATGGGCTTGCGGATGCGCAACAACTGCTCGGGGTGCAGGTCTCCGAGACCAGTACGCGGTTGTCGGAGATACAATTCCCTCTGCAATTCTTTCTTCTCCGCAAAGAAACGCTGCCGTCACGTCCCCGGCGTAGCCGCCCCAGCCCTTGTCCAGATTCGAGGCGAGGATTTGCAAGAGCAAGAGGATTCCTTGCCGCGATGTTGTCGGAGCATGGGGTCGGAAGTCCCGTCAGAGGCTCCAAAGTTTATCGCGGCAAGCTGTTCAAGACGCGATCCGGTTTCTCCTTGAGAGCTTGTCTGCTCTCTTCGACGGACAAAGGTTGTAGTGCAGAGTGTTCGACGTGTTCCTCATTGACGAAGCTCTGCTTCCTTAAAACCTTGGTGCTGATCCAAAGGGATCAGAGCCCAAGGGAGTTCCTTCTCCAGAGCCTTTTCCTTGCCACGTTGTGTCTTGGGAAACTTCATCATGTAGGCCTCGTTGTAGGTAGCCCCGGCTTGTTGAGCTGGGGGACCTTTGGTACGGACACGCTTCGTCACAGGAAGCGGAAGTGGTGCATCACGTTCACGTCTGGTTCCTTCTCTCTGAGGTGTCGTTGGGCTTGGTCCGCGTCTTCGGGGGCGAGAGCAATGTCGTCGAGGGGCCTCGGACAGTCGGTGTCCTGTTCCTCGTACATCTCCTCGTCACCGAAGTCCTGCTCGAGGAGTCGGTGGAGAATCGTCTTGAGTAGCCCTCATCGCGAAAGCTGCGCCTAGCTCCTCAGCGCTGGCCGTGCGCAAGTGTTCGGGAGCAACCAGATGGCACTTCCCGCCACACGGGAACGTTGTAGAAGGGAACGTCGTAGTCGAGAGTCGTTCTGGGACTTGAAATAGGCCTCCTTGGCAGATATCCGAAGAGAATGTTCGCGGGCAGGCGATCGTAGCTGATGATGTGCTCGACTCGACATGCTCATCATGAGGGGTGCCCTTAATCCTCGGGAAGACGGGGATCACGTCCCCATACGGCCTGAGAAGGGCTAAAACCTGAATCCCTGCGGAGGGTGTTCGCCGTGTTGGTCACAGTGATGATCATGCCGGGCTCGTCGGAGGATGCGGACCATTCGTCCACAAGTCTGCTCCAAATTTCTTTCCAAGTGCGAATCGCGCGCTCAACAGTGCCATTCTGCCGGTGGGCTTGACCGGCGATGGGCCGTATCTTGGTGCCATGCCATTCGCTGAATCTTCCCAGTCCAGCTTGCAATCCGCTCTCGAGGTCCACAATCAGGGTACCTGGTGCTCCGAAGCTTTGCTTTAGCCAAAGCCTCGCAGAACCCTAAACCCTAAACCCCTCAATCTAGGTCAGTATGTGTGAGAAGATGTGATGATTCTGCTTCTGAACCCCAAACCCTGAATCCTTCAATTTGGGTCAGTATGTGTGAAAATATGTCATGATTCTGCATCTGAAGCCTAAACCCGAAACCCCTCAACTCTCAGCGTTTTCGTCAGCAGCCCAGGACCCCACGGATGGTGCCGTGAAGGAGGGTAAGCTCATCATCCCCCGGCTGATCTCCAACATGAAGAGCAACACCTTCCGCGTCAAAGAGGCTTGGGGTATAGGTTTAGGGTTTAGGGGAGGCTTGGGGTATACCTACCTTAAGAACCCCAAACCTACTTTTTTGTAGGGTCCCTATAAATCCCATATTAGGGCTTACAATAAGAACCTACAAAAAAGTGGGTTTGGGGTTCTTAAGGTAAACCCTAAACCCTAAACTATAGAGTTTAGGCTTGACGGCTGGGGCCGTAGATCCTGCTGTTAGAGCGGGAAT